TCACTTGCGTGCATGGGCCATGGAGAACTTGAATATCCCTAGGTTTGAGCACGCGCACCTGCACGTTAAAGAAGAGCCCGGACAACGTGAGGCTACCCCGGAACACACGTTTCGAACGTTGCGGCAACACCGTGTTCGCGAACACGCGCGCGCTGGTAGGCGAACAGGCGGCCATCGCCTTGGAGGCCTGGCGTTCCGCATGTTTCGTGTTGTTGCCCATCGCTTCGGTTTTCGCATCCGAGATGGGCACAGGAGCTCACGAGAGGAACATTCACATTGGATCCATCGTCGGATTGCAGGGTTTGCCAAACATCGCACGCCCCGTTGCCTCTTCTGAAAAGTATGGGTTCATTCCTCCTTCTGGGAAATGTATCATCATTATGTACACATTGTTCATTTCTATTTCGTCGAAAGTTCTTTGATTTTTTCGGGCCAAGATCCTTTCATTTCTAATTGTTCTATCCTGCGCATCTTCCTGGCCACTAGGGGGTCAAGAACAATTAGAAACGAGCACAATTAGAAATGAGCACGATGAGAAATGAACGAAATGCAATTGGCAAGCACAGTGATGAGCGAAGTAAGCAACAAATGAACAGCGTGCAACATGGCTCTGAAGGGAGGCGCGAAAAGAACAATGTCCAAGTCGTCGACAAACGCCACTTCAAGAAGTTCCTCATCCTCGCCCTGCTGGTCGGCCAGCGCCGTCGCCCAGAAGGGGCTCTGAGAGTTCCAGCCTCGAATGGTGATGCCCGCCTCGCGAAGAACAGCAGCAAGTTGAACAAGTGTAATGGTATAGCCAACGTTGAATACCATACCGCCAAGCTTGCACCCTTGCCTTCCGCCTGTTGCCAAGCTGTCTGCGCCGTCCATTTGGAGCGACGAACGGGAGTGCAAGGTAACGAGCCAACGGGAGAGCTTATTTGGCATACCCATTTGCGCAAAGACATGCCCATGATCACGAATAGAATGGAAGATCCACAATGAAGTCTTGCCGAAGTCGCATAAACACTTATGCTAGACTTGTTCCGTGTCTGTCACGTGTTGTGCGAAACCATGCAAAGGTCACGGATGATCCCATCAAAAGTTGTCACCGAGTCTGCAAAAAGGACGAATCTGCATAAGTTCAGATCCTTCGCGTAGTCAAGTGCGGTCAACATACAGTGACGAGCAAGATCAGCGCGCCTGCCTACAACAGCCCCGTGCTGGCTCTCGGGGACGAAGGCATAGTAGCCATGCTCAAGGTCCCTCCCTCTCCCTCTCCCGCTCCTCCTCTTCCTCCTCCTCCTCTTCCCCCTCTTCCTCCTCCTCCTCCTCCTCCTCTTCCTCCTCTCCCTCCCTCTCCCTCTCCCGCTCCTCTCCTCCTCTTCCTCCTCCTGCCGTTCCCCCTTCCCCAGCTGCAGACACCCAACGCTTTGAGAGGTCTCTCTGGGAGGCGCTGTCGAAATTGACGGTTCTGCGTCTGCGCCACCAGTACTGTACGGAGTTCGGCGCCTCGGCGCGAGCAGGCCAACGATTCGTCCCACAAGACATTTTCGTTGAGTCGGTTGGCGGCCTCAGAATGCGCGCTTTCACACAGGCTGAGACGTTGGCGCCGGTCCCCTGAGTAGATCAGCCTCGGGATGCTTTCCAGCAGATGCGCCTCACCGAGAGCGTTCTGGGGGTGCAAGAATCGTCCACCCGAGCTATGGCTTGAAAACCGCAAGTGTTCCCAGATGTCCATCCTCTTTGGACAGATTAAGACGGAGGCGTTTTCACCGTATTCAGTGTCCAGGGGCCGTCTTCGGGTCCCAGGACTACGCCACCAACATGCTCTACGTGCCCTCTTTGCCGCTGTGCTGCACATTCGATGCCACGAAGATCGGGCAGCTTGTCGATTCATTGGTCCTGCTTTGTGTGAGGCCACGCGGATCCTGATCGCGAAGACCAAGGATCGAGGTGCCACCGCAGTCAACATCCAGTCGACTTTGAACAACGAGATGCCGCTGGAGAAGCGGAGGAGGCGGCCCACGAAACGGCGCAGGCAGAAACGCCAGAAGCCCATCCAGCGGGAGTCGGAGGAGCTGCCTGACACCAACACGCTTACCACCCAGTGGGTGCCGCAGAAGACGAAACCTGACCATTCCGAAATCCTCCTGGCGATCATCAGAACAAACCCTCATGGCCTAAGGGGGTCCACGTTGTCCTCGAAGACTCACTGTACGCAATGCCGTCGGCACCACCAGAATGCGCATGCGCGCGGGAACATAAAACGTAAGACTACGTCGTTGACCTCGCTGTCTGACCAGTTCGCTAATCACAAGGAGATGACATGACACTCACCATGCACCTCAAGAGCTCCATGCAGCTCATAGTCCACGGCTCCAACGCCACGCCCCATATCTCAGAAGCAGCTGATGCTCCGCCTCGGACGCGACCATGCTCACCTTGGATGCCGACCCTGGACGCAACCACGTCTTCCTCGCAGGCCGCCGTGGATGGCTTCCCCCATCAAGCACGCACTCGGCGACGCCCGTTTTAGCGGACCTGGCGGCGCAGGCGGAGCTTGTCGCCGACGCCGTGCCGAACAGCGGGAGGGCGCGCCGCAGGCTACCGGGTCGGGGCGCGCCGCTCAGCTCACGCTGGTCGGCCGACGCTGTGCCCCTCGGGCTCGGTCGAGCCTGCCGTCCCAGCCTGCCCCCCCCTGGTGCTTCAGCCCCTGCTTCTCCCGCCCCCCCCCCCGGTCCCCCCTCCCTTAGCACCGAGCGAACTCACATTCCCACTCCGCATACCCTTGCCCCCTCCCCAACCCCCGACCCCGTCCCACTCACCATCCTGGAGGCCGATGGAGTGGAGACGGAGGAGGAGAAGGGGTAAGAAGAGGAGGAGGAGGAAGAAGAAGAAGAAGAAGCAGAGCACGAGAGCGAGGGGGAGGAGGATTCACATATCAGACTGCCCATACATGAGGATGCATACATGAGGATGATCAGGACGCCAGGATGGCGAGGGCGAAGGCGAGGAAGAATTGGGTGACGAGGATGAAGCGTGAGCATTCGTTGATGTACCGCCCCTGTGCTGGTGATCTCCTAGCCAGCACCACGGCCGGAAGAAGCATGCAATTACTTCCATAAGGTTGCCATTGACACCATTATTTGTCCACAAAAGCTTACTTCACATTCCTGTTTGCTGTTGCATATGAAAAGACGTGTGGTCATCTTGTTTGCCCCCGTGAAAGCGCCCCCCGTGGTCCGCAGGCTGTGCTGGCACTTCCGGTGCAGTTTCCCTGGCGAAAGCCCCACAGGAGGGCGACGGGCAATTCCGACCAGCATCGTTTGGAGGAGAGGAGGAGGAGGAGGAGGAGGACGAGGAGGACGACGACGACGACGTGGATCAGGGAACGAGGGGGAGGAAATGGCTCAGGAAGAGGGACAGAAATAAGGGCGTGTTGACGTGGTCCCAGAGGAGAGCTGCTGAAGAGAACGAATACGAGACTAATAATTTGTTACGCTCTTCCTGTTGCCTCTGTTTTGTGTGTGCATGGTGCGCGGAGGGATGTGCGCACTCTTTTTCGATCGTCGTATGCACGGTCTGTTGTGCCTGATGCAACACACATCGGGTCTTCATTTTATAAGTGTACACGTATGTAGACCTACACGTGTGCGTGGATTCGAGGACAGGATCTTGCAGCGAATGGGCCAGCCCAGTCCAGCACAAGACTGTCCGAGGAAAACTTCCTTGCCCTCCTGATCGTAGTTGGGGAAGGTGAGGGAGGAAGGGGCAGGGCACTGAAGGTACGAAGGGTCGGGGCAGGGGGGGAAAAACATTGGCCCGGCAGCGTGTGCGCAGGAGGAGAGGCACGCAGGCCAGGCAGGGGAGAGAGGGGCGCGGACGCGGAAGGGACCAAGGAGGAGAGGGGAGGGAGGCCCAGAGGCAGAGACACGGGCATGACGGTGTAAGCGAAGGGGCGGAACGGGAATCAGGCAGCGGAGCGAGGCGGGCAGAGCAGGGCGAGGGGAGAGGGGGGGGGGGGGGAGAGGGGAGTCCTGGCGCTTCAGGTGACCATTCGCCTCGCAGCCTGCCTGGGCAAAAGAGGGGGGAAGAGGTGGCCGCCCGGGCAGCCAGGAGCGAAGAGAAGGGCAGGGCGGGCGCCGGGGAAGGGGCGGGGCGAGCCAGGCGAGGGAGCGGGCGAGGTGGGCCACCTCGAGTGCCCCTTGGCATCTTCCACCTCGCCCCTCTGGCTCCCGAGCAGCCGCAGGGTGACGGGCGCCATAAAGGGAAAGGGGTCTTGAGGGAAAACCAGTCCTTCCCTCCTTCCCGCCCTCCCTCCTTCTCCCTCCTCCTCCTCCTCCTCCTCCTCCTCCTCCTACTACTACTACTACTACTACTACTACTACTACTACTACTACTACTACTACTACTACTACTACTACTACTACTACTACTACTACTACTACTACTACTACTACTACTACTACTACTACTACTACTACTACTACTACTACTACTACTACTCTTGCCTCGCTTTCCCTCCTCCTCTTCCTCCTCCTCCTCCTTTTCCTCCGTAGCAATTTTGACTCGGGCCAAGCTGTCTCAAGCCAGCCTGGGCACTCCCCGTAATCATTTGCTTGCTGGTGCGTGTTTGAGTTTATTTCGCCTTGCGTTGTGTGTTTTCCTGGACGGCCACGTGGTCCATGGACAGGGCATACAATATCCAGCTGCCTCCGGCAGTTCCGCCACCGTGCCAGCGCAGCCTTCTGGGTTCTGGGTGCCAACTACTCAAGAAGGCAAGAGAGCCTGCTGGGGTCCTCTGGGCGCAGAATTCTGCGTTCGTGCTCCCTCCTTGGACCTTTCTGGAGGCCCTTTTGGACAGTCGTAGGCGCCTCTTGGGCCGTCTTGGAACCCTCTAGGTCAGTCTTGGAGCTCTCTTGAAGGCCTCTTGAGCGGGGGAGTCTTGGGAGGCTCTTGAACCGTCTTGGAGTGTCGGAAGCTCGAAAATGCGGAAAGAAAGAATTCTTGCAAACCATGCGGCGGGGATCTCACACGCCGTACCCGGAGGGGCGGCGGATCGCTTCGCTCATACCGCCGATTGCCTCGCCGCTTGGGTGCTGTGTTGGGGCCTCTTGGGGCCCTCTGGGAGGCAGTCCTGGGGGCCGTGCTGGGGCCTCTTGGGGCCTCTTGAGGGCCTCTTGGGGTTTCTTGGGGTGCCTCACGGGGGCCCCTTGGGGCCTCTTGGGGGCCTCTTGGGGCCTCCTGGGGGCCTCTTGGGGCTGAAGGCTGCACTGTTCTGTTTCTGCTTCCCGTCTGGGGCCCCTCTTGGAGCCGTTTTGGAGCCCTCTTGGGCCATCGTGGGCGCCTCTTGGGCTGACTTGGGGCAATATTAGGCCGTCTTAGGGGCCTCTTGGGGGCTTCTTTGGCAGTGTTGGGGCGGTCTTGGGGGCCTCTTGGGCTGTCTTGAAGCGTTGGAAAGCCGAAAAGGAGAGAAACGTCGCACATGCGAAACGTATACGTTTTTCGATGTGGCCTCTTGGCGAGCCTCTTGAGGCTCTCTTGGGACTTTTTCGCTAATTCTGCGGCCATCTGGAGACTATGATTGTACTGTTATTTCTTATTTGGGTGGGCCCGAACCCGATCTATTTTATCCGCCTACCTACTTCATGCGTCCATCTACTTCTTCGACTGGCGGGCAATGGCTTCGCACTGTGCTAAGGTGAAAGACGTCCCGTCCATTGTGCCGGAACAGGCGCGAACAGATCTTGATGGAGGCCCACGATGTGTTCCACAACCTTTCCGTTGATGTGTCTGCGTTGCGGAATTATGTTGCGCTGGTACAAAAGTGCCCGAGTTCAGTTTCGGATGTTTTTGTTTGTGTCTTGAAGGACCAGGTTGCCACCCATGAGGAAGCTCTCTAACAAATGATCGCTATGCTTGGCACGCTGGTTGCTCAGAATACGGAGTTGAGTTCGGATGTTGACGGGACGGTCTTCCAGCAGTTTGTAAAGTCCGATGTCGTTCCCATCCGCGTGCACTTAGCGGTGGCTGAACGTGGCTCTGCTGGCCCTGTTCCTGTGCATTCCGCTGAACACAGCACATGTGATGCGACAGATTCCGAAGCTAGACCCCTACTCGAAGGCGAGGAAGTCTATTCGGATCGCGGCGGGATCAAGAGACACTAGCATTCGAGGCTCACGTGCCCCTGCTCGTTGCGCGCCAGCGCGGGGACTGTCTGGACGACGTGATCTGGGAGTAAGTGGTGCGGCCTGTCGTCCCGCTGCCTCCGGCGCTCCCTTCTGCATCTATGTTTCATTCCCGGTCTCCGATTCCTCCCTCGCAGGTCCTTCTGCCCATCGGTCAGAGAGGATGATGTATTTACGCTCGTCTCCTCCCCCTCCTCCTCCTCCTCATCCATCTCCTCCACCTCCTCCTCCTCATCCTCCTCCTTCTCGTCATCACTCCCTTCCTCCATCCCTCCATTCATCCTTCTGGCACTTCGGGAGGAGTGGGGGGTCCTCCCCTTGCCCCTCCTCCTCCTCCTCCTCCTCCTCCTCGTTCTCGTTCTCGTCCTCCTCCTCCTCGTCCTCCCCTGGGGTGCTCCCCAGGAGCAGCTCGTCGTCCCCGGCCGTCGTGTGACGGCCCCAGGGCCCGTGGAGGGCGCAGGGCGTGCAGGGGAGGGGGGGAGAACTGCGAGAGAACTCCAGGACCCTTTGCGTCTCGCTCCGCCTGTCTTTTCCCTTCCCCGAGACCCGATGCCGCAAGCAACCAACTGACGCATCACCGTGGGAAAAGAACACGATTGGAGCCCTGGACCCGATCGTCCTGCGGCATGTTCAGGGTCAACGTTCGGGGGGTCAGCACCAAGAGGCAACGCATCTCCCGACGACATATCCTCCGCATCCTCCTCCCTCTCTCGTCGTCGTCGTCGTCGTCGTCGTCGTCGTCGTCGTCGTCGTCGTCGTCGTCGTCGTCGTCGTCGTCGTCGTCGTCGTCGTCACGATCGGCATTCTCCGCCGACAAGGGCCCGACGGCCCCTCCCGCCCAGGACCGTCCGGATTCGCCAGCAGGGGCACATCGCCAACGACGCATCGCCGAGTGCGGCTCGGCACGTCCCCCCGGCAGGCTTCCCCGAAGGATTGCAAAAAAAGCCCGAAGGATTGCAAAAAGGATTGCAAAAAACGTAGGGTTTTTTTTTGCAAACCTAGGGTTTTTTTGCAATCCTTCGTTTTTTTGCAATCCAGCAGGGGTACATCGCCAACGACGCATCGCCGAGTGCGGCTCGGCACTTCCCCCCGGCAGGCTTCCCCAGCGGTCCTCCTCGCAGGTCCCGTTCCGGATCGAGCTGCGAGGGCCCCCGGGAGCCGACTCCGGGCGAAGACGCCTTCCTGCCCGGAGGGTTCCAAAGGGGGCCGGGGGGTTTTCCAGAGAGCCCCCCAGGGGCCTCGGAGCCTCGTCAAGACAGGGGGTGCGGAGCTCCTGGGAGGGGCCCCTCCTGGCAAACCCCCTCCCCAAAAGCCCCCTTTGGAACCCTCCGGCGGAAGGAGAAGCCGCGAGTCCGGGACTTTCGGGGCGGAGCTGCCGCGGGGGGCCGGGCAGGCTCGCCCTGGTGGTGCTCCGGCTCAACGCCCAGTCTGGACAGACCGTGACGGACAACGGCTCGAGGAGCGCCCGCTGGGGGCTCGGAGGCGTCAATCGGCGGAGAGCGAGGGGGGGGGAGTGAGAGAGAGGAGGCGGGGCTTCGCAGAAGCCCTCTTGCCTTTTGAGAGGTGCTCGCGTCCTCGGGAGAGGCTCTGAGAACCTGTCAGAAGGCCGGAGGACTTCCAACCCTTCTGAGAAGGACCGCCCCTTCTCTTTGCCCCTCTGGGCTGGCCGCCGAGTCAAGAAGGGATGTGAATACTATTCCGCCGTCGGAAAGGGGGGGTCCAGGGCCATCTCCGGCGAATGTGTTGTTGCAGTTGCCATTATCTTCTCGAGTTCGGCCTCTGGAGCCGCGGATTGAAAAATCAGATTGCCGGATGTCAGGGGCAAGGGGGATGTCAGGAGATTTTCACCGTCGGCGAGGGGGGGACAAGGTTCTCGTTGGTTCATGGAGGTTTTCTCGCACGGGGATGCTTTCCAGCAGCTGTGTCCCGCCGAGGGCTCTATGGATGGTGTCCAGATCGTCCCGAGCGGTCGCCCGAGGTTCGAATTATGACTCCAGCAATACTCCTCCTCCTCCTCCTCCTCCTCCTCCTCCTCCTCCCCCTCCTCCTCGTCCTCCTCCTCCTCCTCCTCCTCTTCCTCTTCCTCCTCCTCCTCCTCCCCCAGACGCCGATAGGCTTCTGGTCGTCGGAGATAGGTAAAATTCGCCGACGAGCTGACGGGCGTTGCTGCCCGGCGGTCTCGGGACCGAGCCCTGGATGGTGCGATGCCGCCCGAGATGAACACTTCTGGGCCCCACTGCGTGTTTGATCGAAGATCAGGCGATCGCAAGCATGGATTAAGGGAGCGTGGATTAGCGACGGGGCCCGTTTACATGGGAAATCGCGGATTGTCGCCGCCGAACGAGGCGGCACCGGCCGCATTTGGGGGAGGACACCTCCCCCGATCCATGGATTGGGCGACCGCGCGCCAAATCCAAGGATCGCTAGTCCATGTTTGCGCGCCCCCGAGAAGAGCGTGCCTCGCAGGCCCTTCTCCTCGACTGCAACCGAGCACCCAGTGGGCAGCAGGAAGAGCCCACGAAGCCCGCGTGGCAGTTCTCAGTATTGCGCGCACGGGATCCGCATGGGTCTGTGGTTTGCGTGACGAGTTCTGTCCCTCTTCGGAGGTCTCAGAGGCCTGTGGAGAACAACGTCTGTCTGCACAGCCCGCGCAGGACGAATTCGGGGAGGGAGTGGTTCGCACCGGTGAGGAGGTGACGGTGGTGGGGGGACCGCGCTCCATGCTAGTCAATCGTTGCATGTTGGACCAGAGTTACTCTCCATAAGAATAAAAGCAAAACGGCTACTGTTGATCAAGGCACTTGCCAGACGAGTGTTTTCTTCCTATCTCCACGAAGTGGTATGAAAAGGCGGCCCGCATCAGGCGCGGTCTACTTACAGGCAAGAAGGGCACTGCTGCTTATGTGGTCGAGGCGGCCTCCAGGATTCGGCGTGGTCATGCCAGAAGCCACATGACTCCGGGAACCCTGTATGACGAGTCGGTGCCTGAGCCATTGGACTAGCGGCGGGGAATCTCCAGGAGTATCCTACTCATCCCCCCCTCCTCCCCACCTCCATCATCGTCATCCTCCCCCTCCGCCCTCTTCCACCCTCCCGAGGGAGGGGAGGGAGAAGAGAGGATGAGGTGGCGGAAGGAGAAAGGAGGGGCCAGAGGCGAAGAAGAGGGCTTCCTCTCCGCCCCCTTGCCCCCCCCCTCCCACTTCCCTCATGAAGCAGTAGCAGCCAAGTGCGATAAGTGAGGAGCGGCCCAAGAAGAAGAGTAAAGAGCAGGTGAGGACGAGATCGCCAGGATGATGCAACACTCGACAATATTTGCCTGCGGCGGGCCCTGCCACCATGCCAGCGCCGCAGCACAGCAGGCTGGCAGTGGGGTCAAAGGCCCGCGCTCCAGTGCAGAGTTTGGCCTGAACTTGCAAGGGTCCTGGTCTCCCCCTCCCTGTCTGCTCCCCCCGCAGACACTAACAGCCAAACTGGGCATGACGAGCACGACGCGACGCTCCGCGCACACTCCAGAAGGGCGACGATCGTTCTGAGGAGCGGCCCAAGAAGAAGAAGAAGAAAAAGGTGAAGAGGAGGATGAGGAGGGAGAGAAGGAGGAGGTTGAGTGCGAAAGCACCCGAATGACGGATAAAACGAATTCATTTGCCTGGGGCAGAACCTGCCACCGTGCCAGTGCCAGAGCGCGGCAGGCTTGAGGTCGGGCTCCAGAGCAGCGCCGGGCCTGAGCTGGGGCATCCGGCACCCCCTCCTCGTCCGCAGCCTTGGTAGCCCCCAGCCCCCCCACCCCTCCCAGGGGCAATGTCAGGGGGGGATGCGCTCAGTGTGTCATCATGCATCGACCGCCAATCGCCCACTCATCGCCGATGGAGGGGCCTGCTGGCCCACCCCCGCCCATCAACGTTCGGTTTACGTAGCATCCGGGGGCCTATCCTCGATCTCTTGTCCATACTGCCGACTCCGTGTCGTTGTTTCTCCCCCCCCCCCTGAGCTGGTACCCCCCGAACGTTCCCCCTTCTCCTCCTGTTCGGGGCCCCAGCTGATGATGTGTTGCTGACAGCCAATACGCTACCCCAGATGCAGAAAATGCTCTCTGACACATGTACGCACGCTGGAGCTGTGGGCCTTCAACTGCGCCCGGACAAGACAAACATCTTCACCAACGCAACGCGGAAGATTGACAGAAGACGCGACCTTTCTGCACCGGTGGAACAGCTGCGCATGGAGGTTCTAGAACCCGAATGTGCAGTAAAGTACCTCGGTCGCATGCTACGGGGGACAGCATCCGCAGGCGTTGAAGTTGACCATCGGATCCGGCAGTCTTTGACGGCATTTATGGCGAGAAAATCTGAGTCTACAAGAAGATTTCGTCGAAAATACGTTCTGAGCGCTGCGGCGCTACACGCCCATCCCCGTCCGTAGTTGGGACAGCTTTCGCTGTAGTGGCGTCCGTTCGTTCGTTCGCTCGTTCCTGTCGGGGCCCCAAACCCGTGTGGTGACGGACCGCGCGGTGACCTCGGAATCCCCAACGACCTCACCGCGCGGTCCGTCACCATACGGTTTGTAAGCTTTGGAGGCCCCAGTCGTGCGAGACAGTGCCAAAACCACGCGGTGACCCCGAGTCCCTACCGACTCGCCACGCGGTGTGGTCACCACATCGTTGGGGGATCCCCGATCTCCCCTACGTTCTTGTCAGCGGCGACTCGGGCCCAAGACGCGGTCAAGGCAACGGCGGGACGCATCCGTGGGAAACGGAAGCACGGGGGGGAGGGGGGCCAGGCCAGAGGCGGGGGGGAGGAATGGCACCACGGGCGGCGGAGCACCCTCAAGTGTTGAGGACTATGAACGCGCGTGTGTGTCTGATGACAGACGACGACGGCCCGTCGGCCCTCCATCTCGCTCTGCGGCGCAGCCATGTTGTCGTGATGCGCAGTGCGAGAGGGTGGATACACGAATCGCCAGAGCGCTGCGGGAGAAAAAGGATCGACCCCCGAACCTGGAAGGGAATATCGACATGCAAGGCATGGCAACGTTTCAAAGACACCTGATTGGGCGACAGGCAAACGCAATGCTGAGTGCATCGGTCTTGATGTACCGTGCCGAGGGCTGTGCTGTGCTGCGCCGTGCTGAATTGCGATGTGCCATGTCGCGATTGTGCTCTATAGCGTTGTGGATCGAGTCCCCCTTTGCATCCGAGTCCTGACCGAACTGATCTGGATCTTACGCTCGAGCTGCCTCATCACATAGTAGCTGCCCCAGGGCTAATTTACAGGGGAGCATGCCAGGAAGACGCGCCGCGGAACGTCTCAAGGGACGCGCCAGGCGACGTGCCTGGGGACGTGCCACGGGGACGCACCGCGGAACGTGCCAAGGGGACGCGCTACGGAACGTGCCACGAGACGTGCCAGGGGATGCGCCGCGCGACGTGCCAAGGAGACTCGCCACGGGACGCGCCATGGAACGTGCCAGGGAATGTGCCAAGTTGCAAGGCTGAGTTCATCGATAATGATGTACAGTGCCGAGGGCTGTGCTGTGCTGCGCTGTGCCGAGTTGCGATGCGCCATGTCGCGATTGTGTTCTAAGTGTTGTGGATCGAGTCCTCCTGTGCATCCTGACCGAACCGATCTGGATCTTAAGCTCGGGCTGCCTCAGCACATAACCGCAGAGGGTCTTTAATAATGCACACACACACACACACCCGAAGCTCTCGGCGGGGAATAGAAACTCGTCCTTCCTCCTCTTTCCCCTCCCTCCTCCTTCCCCTCCGTCTTCCTCCTCCTCGCCCTCCCCCTCCTCCTCCTCCTCCTCCTCCTCCTCCTCCTCTTCCTCCTCCTCCTCCTCCTCCTCCTCCTCCTCCTCCTCCTCCTCCTTTGGCCGCCAGGCGTTGAGCGATGGGATTTTTTTAGCATTTCTCATGACCTCTCATGCATCCGCCGACGAGAACATGAATTTCCAACTATTGTCGGGGTCCCAATCCGTCAATAAACCGGCGGAAATTATCAATTTTCCCATTATTGCCCGGGGGTTTATTGAAGATCTTTTGGGGCTAGTACTTGCCATTGGGCGAATTTACCGGGGAGCATGCCAGGAAGACGCGCCGCGGAACGTCCCAAGGGACGCGCCAGGCGACGTGCTTGGGGACGTGCCACGGGGACGCACCGCGGAACGTGCCAAGGGGACGCGTTGCGCGACGTGCCAAGGGGACTCGCCACGGGACGCGCCACGGAACGTGCCAGGGAATGTGCCAAGTTGCAATGCTGAGTTTATCGATAATGATGTACAGTGCCGAGGGCTGTGCTGTGCTGCGCTGTGCCGAGTTGCGATGTGCCATGCCGCGATTGTGTTCTAAGTGTTGTGGATCGAGTCCTCCTTTGCATCCTGACCGAACCGATCTGGATCTTAAGCTCGGGCTGCTTCAGAACATAATAGCTGCCCCAGAGCTAATTGACAGTGGGACACGCTAGGAGGACGCGCCGCGGAACTTCCCAAGGGACGCGCCAGGCGACGTGCCTGGGGACGTGCCACGGGGACGCACCGCGGAACGTGCCAAGGGGACGCGCGCGCTACGGAACGTGCCAACGGACGTGCCACGGGACGTGCCAGGGGACCCGTGTTTTCGGGCATGCCCCGCCTTGGGGCGTTATGCACCCATGCGGTTTCATGTATCTCCCGCCTTCGGGCGTTCGGGACCCATGTGTTTTCACGTTTGTCCCGTCCTGGGGTGTTAGGAACCAGGTGTCCTCGCAAATTACGTTGCGTCCGCTCTTCCTGGGGCACGATCCCTCGTAAATTACGCTGCGTCCGCTCTCTCTTGGGCCACGATCCCTCGTAAACGACGCTGCGTCCGCGCTCCCAGGGCCGCGCTCCCTCCTGAATGACGCAGTGTCCACGCTCCCAGGGCCGCGCTCCCTCGTGAATGACGCAGTGTCCACGCTCCCAGGGCCACGATCCCTATTGAATTACGCTGGGTTCGCGCCTCCAGGGCCAGGATCCCTTAATTACGCTGCGTCCGCGCTCCCAGGGCCAGGATCCTTCGCAAATTACGCGGCATCTGCTACGATCCTTTGTAAACAAAGGTCCGATCACACTCCCAGAACAACATGGGCATCCTGGAGCGCCCAAGCCTTTCAAGCGCTGCAAAACAAGCGTTTCGCCCGAGACGTCCTCAGAGATTCGGCAAGCAGGGTGCGCAATCCTCCAGCGGGCACGCAAAAAGCCAACCTTCCTTCTACCAAACAAGCGCGGGACTCGAGACATCCTCGAAATTCCTGCGCGCGGAACGCGCCATCCTCGAGCGGGCACGCAAAAAGTCTTCTTTTTCACATTTTTCGTGTCCCGGTCGGGGCTCCATACTTTGTTAGTTGATATAGATTCTGCGCAAAACGCTCCGCACTTTTTTAAAGATAAGAGAATCTGAGGTCCGCGGACCCTTATGAGGCAACGAGGATCCGAGATGGGGAGACGCACTTTCTTCGAGCGGACACGCGCGAAACGCATTTGTTCCACGCCGAATGGGACTTGACCTCGTTATCTATCGCAAATAATTTCGCCGGCCCTCTTCAAGCATGGCACTGGGGACTGGTTTACCAACTAAAAGAGAACCCTGGGCCTAAGCCTTTTCTTCCAGGGGGGAAACACCAGGGATGACCGTATCAGGGAGCGCCACTTCTATGGGAACCGAGCCACCTCTCTACAGTCAAAACGCATAGAAGGATGAGCAGCTTTCCAATGTTGCCCTCGCATCCTTGCCCCTTCGGCCCATGCGTGGCATCTTTCGCTGGCCAACCCCGTTCGCACATCGTCGCCATGGCCTTCAAGGCCCTTGCACACTTACCGCGCATCGTTGTCATGCGCTTCGACTGTACATTTTGAAGCCCGCGGGCGCCAGGGTGTGTGAGACGGTCAGGCGCCGGTCAAAGCGAGCGGTGAGCTGCATCGGAAGCTCATGCAGGCACAAATCGGAAAAGCAAGAGACGGGAGAAAGACGGAGCCCGATCAGACAGTGCAAGTCAGCGCGGGAGTGCCGGAGAAAGACATGCAGCTATGTACGAGCAGCAGATCACCTGCGCGAGGTGGCATCCCGCCACCGTGCCTGGGTTGTGGGCGATTGGCCTTTAGGATGTTCGTTGGGATGTCGCGGGGGGGCCTCTCGGGGGCCGTCTGGAGGCCTCTTGGGAGCCGTTTGGGGGTCTCTTTGGGGCGTCGTGGGTTAACGCGCATCCTCATTGCGTGTGATGATTGCACCTCACAAGAACAATCGGGCTGGACGAAGGGGTAGGAAAGGGATAGGGAAGGGGGGGATGCGAAATGTGCTGCATGCAGCTGGTTCCGGCCTGGCCGCGGGGCCCCTGCCTCGATGCATGGGCGCCGCCCGGCGCCAGGGGGCGCCAGGAAAGCCAGCCACGTGAGCTGACTCTCTACCCCACCCTTGCCTTGCCTTGCCCTGCCCTCCTTGGTCTTGGCTTCCCCCCCCCCTCCTCTCGCTTTCCTCCCTTGTCTCCGCCTTCGCCTTGCCTGTCTCGCCTTCCTCTGCCTCTGCCTCCCTTCGAGGCGCCTTGCGCATGAGATCTGCTCCCGCGTTCTTCAGCACGCGCGCCGACGCGCCGAGCTGCAGGCTGCCGCGCACGTCCAGGGGATGCCCGCAGCCTGCGGCTCCGACCGACCGACCCTTTGCTGCCCTGCCCCTCCGCCCCCCCCCCCCGAAGCCCCCAGACCGGGGAGGGCGAGCACGGGGCTCCGCGCGGCGCGCCCCGCGCCAGGAGCGGAGACCCCCGCTGCCGCGTGGCGCCGCGCGCGCACCGCCCTCGGGCCGTGCGCCGGGAGTGGCGCCCAGGCGCGCCGGTGCCTCGCGGAGGGCGTGGGGCGTTGGTCCCGTCAGGGGCAACGACGGGGGGAGGGCGGCATACAGTGAAGTCGGGCATGTCCCTCTACAGGAAGAATATTCAAAAGTAGTCAGAAAATAGTTATGTTATGTTTTCATTGTTATGTTTAGCATTCTTAGCTATTTTGAATTCTTTCGTCCAAAATCCGCCCGTAGGAGGACACGCCCGACCTAAGCATACAGTCGGACCGAGGTATGACCTCGAGGTCGGTTCGGGGAGGGTGCCCTGTGTTCCTCGTGCTTGTTGCATGAGCTGGTGCATCCTGGGGAGGGTACCCTTGGATGTGCTGTTTGGTCTGGCCGGCGCAGTGTCTCATGCTCTTGCGAGATGTGTTCTCTGGCCCAGGTCCGACTGCAGGGGGTGACACATCGTCCCCCAATCGCCCATTGATCGTAGACGGGAGTCTGATAGCCTCAGCCCCCTCCAGGAAGTTGGGTATTTGCTATCGGGGGCCTATCGCCGATCTGTCGGCGATGTATCGCCGAATCCAGGTCGATGTATCCCCCCTATGCCAGGCCCACCCTATCGTTGGTCCCCAGTGGGGCACGGGTGCCTCCCCAGAGTCGGCGATAACAAAGGTATACGCCCAATCTACTTCCAACGCCTTCCTACTTCATGCTTCTGCCCACTTCTTCCGACCGACGGATATGGTTAGGCCGGGGTGTGGTTTGCGATCGGCACCGTCGGGGCTTGGGGAGCACGACGCTGTCTTCCTAGGGCGCCCTCGGAGCGCGGAGGAGAGCTCTGTCGAGGTCCCGCCCAACCCCCAGAGTGCCCCCTGGGTGACGGTTGCAAGCCACACCCTTCGCAAACCACACCCTTCGGAGTCGCCGACAGAGACCCGAAAGTTCAGACGATTCGCGTAACCCCACCAGCTTCGGCTCGGCGCCTGCGCGTCCGCTTGCGCCCGCGAGGAAAAAGTAACCCCACCAGCCCATCCAGAAGCGATGCCCAGAGGAGTTGCCTCGATCAGGGAAGTGAGCAGCATGCAGAGGAAGGGTCCCCCAGTGGAGGCCTCTTGGAGCGTCTCTGGGGCCTCCTGGCGGTCCCGGAGGCTTCTTGGAGCGTCTTGGGTGCCTCGAGGAGCTTCTTGGGGCCTCTTGGGGGTCTCTTGGGAGCCTCTTGGAGGCTTCTTGGGCGCCTCTTGGAGCCTCCTGGGGCGTCCTGGGCGCCTCTTGGAAACCCTATGAAGCTCTCTCGGGAGCCTTGAGAGCGCTCTTAGGACCATCTTGGAGGACATCGATCAAACAAGAGGGGAGCTTCAATTAGCGCTCCCCCCAAGAGGCCAAAATGGGGCCAAAACCTTAGTAAACCAATGATTTTGGCTTCCTCGCCGAGGCCGTTTTGGACGCCCTGACACCTCGCGACCAGCCTCGTCCAGGTCCAGGGACTTTAAGGGTAGCTCTTTGGGAGATGTTGTATAGAATCGGGAGTATAGTTCGCGCGCCGTTGCCTTTGGCTCAAGGCACGCGCGCCCTATTTGCCCGGACACTTACCTTAGTGTTCGCTATGTGCTGGAAAGACCGATACATTATCCTATCTTACCCATCCACTCCCCATATCGTATTCCTTCGACATGGAATTGGATGCAATGTGAGCTCATCCGCCTCCCATGGAGACGGATGCTATTTGACCTACCAGGCTCACTTTCGACTTGGTAGCGGAGCTGGCCGCACTCTCGTGTGGTCAGCTCTTGCTCTTCTCATCCTCATACTATTCGGCACGATCTTCGTGACCACCTACCACCCTGCGCTACCACTCCCAGTACGTTTACGAGGATCTATCCAAGAGCAAGAAGCAACACGAGAGGTACGACGTCTAGACAACAACATTGGCACCATATACGCTTCATCATTGCGCTACTACCAACTGCTCGGCAACGAGCCAAAAGCGCAGCACTTGAAGCATGGGCGGAGAGATCCGCCAGATAGAGCGCCTCGACGACTCGACAAGGCGCTACCCCAGCGCGGCAATGCGCTTAATAACCACTCCTATCTACACAGCCTTGGGCTGGTTATCTTCGCTATCATATGGTTCGCGCTGGGGGCAGCAATCGGACACATGCGCCGCGGAGAGAACAGCACCGATGGGCAAACACATGGCCCATACTGGGACCCTCAAGGCAACGTACCTTTCCGTGAGTACGTTTATGAGGTCAACGCGTGGCACAACGTCACAAGTGGACGTACGACGCCACAGGCCCAAGCGGCCGCCACAGAACGCGGCCTGGGTGGCCTAGCGAGGACACTCGCCGTGAGGGTACCACCTGACATTATAAACTACGGTGCTGACATCGACGGGGTCCACACCGACCCAGTGACCTACATCATGTTCCTCCTAAGCATGAAGTTCGAGCGCCTGGAAGATGAGCCCCAGCTCACTTCCGGCACACAGCTCATCGACTTCCATGTGCCTCACGGAGAACGAATCGATGTTACTCTTACCCGATTCGAAATGGCCCGACTTGAGGCACAGTCGGTGGGATTTGACCTTCCCAACTTCCAACTACTAACCACGATCCTGTTCCGCGCCGTAGGCGTCGGCAACCAGCGAGCCATGCAACTCTTGCGGCCACTCAATCATCAAATGCCCCGAACACAACAACAGTATGATGAGTTGCTGGAGAGGATGCGTTCGATAGGCCACCTATCAGAACGGTCTCCTGGCAATATAGGATCTGTGCTTGGAAGGGGAAGGGGATCTGGCAGTGGGAATGTCTACACTACCTTAACCACTGAAGCCCAGCCTGGAAACGGGCCCTCAAGCATATGGGCCGATGATCCTGGAGAATCCACTGCTCTATTAGCAGGGGATCGACCACAACCAAGCTGGGCAACCAGCCCTCCTTCCAGAGAGTCTCAACCACACCGTTCTCTATGGGGTGAATCAACCCCCCTTACCGACGGTGCATCCACCTACTTGGGAGACGGTGATTTCGACTCCGGCACCGTCACAGATACTGTATCATCCGACGGTGTTGAAGCTTTTGACTGGTCAGATATTATGAATATGGAAAATGACAATCAGCGTGCTGAACACTTGTTTTGGTTATTACAACAGGCTAAACGGAGGTGGAGGAGGTTCACACGAAAACCAGTGCGTCGTGTTAGGAGGAGGATGCGGAGGAGCTTCAAGGGAAAAGGTAAAGGCAAACGGGGTCGTCGGAGGTTGAATGGACGAGGCATCACGGCATTCCTCCAGAGGCTCTCAGATGAACAGTATGATGAGATATTCTTCGGGGGAAAGGGCCGTGGCAAAGGCCGTAGAGAGACCTCAGGAAAAGGCAAGGGTAGGCGGGGAAACCCGCGAGGTAGAGACGGCCAGGTCCTAAAGTGCCATGAGTGTGATAGTGCCGACCATCTTGTGAGAGATTGTCCAGCGAAAGGAAATGGAAAGGGCAGATCGACCGAAGTCCATTTTGGCTCAAGCGAACCATTCATCGAATATCTGAGCCTCGAGCTCGAGGCGCATGTTCATGGATTGTACGCGTGCTACCTCGAGTGCGTCCGCAGGTCCGTTGTTGGCAACAACGAGCTCACTCCCGTGGAACACGGAACGCTGGGAAACCAGCCTTTATCTTTCTTCGACTGGATGTTCGGGAACCCAGGCAACATCATGGCCTACGAGAGCAGTGACGAGGACGTCACTGCGGAGGCCCCGCCTGCAGAGGTTAACCGTAACCTCCAACCTCCACCCGCCTTCCCGCCTGGAAACGGGCTTACCTATCCCCGAAACTACGCTGAACTTATAGAAATGGAGTCTCAAGCATTTGTTGCGGGCACACCAGGGAACCCATCTATTCCCCCTGGTTCGCTTGCGCCAGGCGAGTGCGGGCCACGCACACTACTGCAGACCCTCATGGGGATGCACAAGATTTTGACCATAGCATATCCTGAGAGTCAAGAGAGCATCGAGGCTGGTAACATGATGCTGCACGACACTGACGCGTGCGACGACTCGGAGCTAGCGTTGGCAGCCTTGACTCTTATCGACAGCGTGCACCCTGAGGACGTGCAGAGGCATGCGCGGTACTCCCGAGGGAGATGGCGCGAGGCCCTTGAGAGGGCCATCGCCATGCGCGGCCAGGCCCTTCCTCCGCCAGGACGGGGTCTCCAGGCAGCGGGACTATGGCCAAATCATATTGCCATGCGCAACATTGCTGGGCAGCCTGTGCTCGGCAACGAGCCTGAGCCGACAACCGTGCCGCCTGCCCCGGGAAAGCCGAGCGACGCTCAGGCGCCGGCTGCGCAGGGAAACCTGCCCGTCCCGGCTGCACCAATGGCCATCATCATTGGCAGTTCTACATCAGAAGAAGAAGAGGGCGATGGTTGCGGGCTATGCGAGGATGAAGCCACAATCCTCATGATGGAGGTCACCGGTGAGGAAGAGGTGGACTTCGATCCTGACGAGCCTGATGCACCATCACAATCGGCACAAGCGCCATTTGCGCCAGGCTCCAGCCAGCAGGGAGACCCGCCTCTACTAGCCGATCCACCTGGGATCGCACAGGAGCCTCCGCAGGCGCCTCCGCCGGCTTCCACTCAGGCTGCTTCGGCAGCCTCTTCTGATGAGAATGCTGGAAGGTATCGTTCCCATCCGCGCGTCAGAGGAGAGCCACATCCACAGGCTCGGCTTCCTCGTGAGTGGAGGCAAGCTGGCCCGAAGGAACACGCTCTCAGGCGAGGAGGCGAACTACTTCCTTATAATGACCCAAGACGCCGAAAAGGGGAACACTCGGCCTTCGGCAAGGGCAACCCTGCCTATAGGGACGCTCAGGGTAAAGCCATCCGCGGAGGCTATCAGCTTGCAACAAACATCCGCCGCCCTGAAATTGAAGAAGTGCGGACGCAGCTGCGAAACATCATCGCGGCTCGCAAGCTGTATAGGCCTCAAGCAGTTCGCGGACCATGTTCCGAGCCGTTCCAGAACCACAGGCCGGGATGCCCCGTAG